GGTATGGTGTGTGTAAAAATGTTCTTAGTGTCTCTTTTGTTTAAAAGTTAGTGCTTACTTGATTTGGTTCTGAGAATTTCGTTTGTGAGGATAGCATTTGAAATCATCTGTTTTTGATCATCGTGAAGCGTTGACATGACTTGTTTCTGTACTGCTATTTGTCTACTCATCTACTGACTACTGCTGCAGGTACCCTTGTCTATTCTACCATTCTCTACTCTACTGACCTTTTTGTGGTGGAAGGGTCATTTTTATAATGATTATGGTTAGGATAATGAAATATCCTTATTTTTTATCATCACTGATGGCAAGGTTATTTTTAGAATGATGAAATATCATCAAAATTCTGAACCATAACAATTTCATCATTTCTTCAACTTTCTTTCAAAAGTTCTATAATTTCATTAATGTTATGAAGCAAGATCTAAGATAATGATTTTATTGTCCTGTAATATTTATGAATTTCTACTGCAATTTTAGGTTAAAGCTGAAATGTTAATTTACATGAAAAAAAATTTCAGTGGAAATACAATGATTGTTCTTATATTGAAGTGTGTCCTTATATTATTATAACGTTCTCTCAGTATTTTTAAATGGAAATATAATGTTCTGACAAAATTATTACACCATAGTATAATCTACTTCCGTTTAATAACTAGTTTTAACCTGTGAAAATTTCACGGTTTTCTTATTTTAATATTCTGGTGAATCTTAATTCTTAAGTTAATGACTGAGTAAGTTCATGACGAGTTCTGCGACAATAAAATATCCATAGAAATTCCCCTATCACATTATTAATATTTGAGCTAAACAACTGTAACAAAATATTACAATAATAATCATAAATATGAATGCTGTTTATTATTTTAAGAAGTGGGTACAAATGAAAAGATTTGAAATTGACAACTTTTCCATTTTACTGAAATAGTCATTAAACACTTATCTATTGCTGCCTTTCCTTCATTAAGTAGTGACTTTTCTCACTTTTCCATATGACTGTCCTGGGTATGATGATAAACTACATCTGGTAGCAAGGCTTCTGATCATGATATTTTGAGGAGCATGGAACCACTTCTTAATTGCTATTGCTTCCAAGTACACCCAAAGCCAGGATGGTAGCACCAGTTAGGGTTCCAGCTATGGGATGGAACCCTAACTAGGGTGAAAACACAATGAAGGTATTAAAATTTTTAAATTAAAAATACTAGCAATATGTTTTCATAGTAAAAAAAAATTACCAGCAATACATTTCTGTAAAAAGAAATACATTTTTTGTCAAATTATAAATGCTTCCAAGAAAATTAAATTTCAGCCTTAAATTAACCCATAAGAAGTTGATATGCCATCATACAAACAAACTTTCCATACAATCAAAATGGAATAGTCCATTATTTATGAGTTATTGGCTGGATGTAACATCAAGCAAAGGAGGGACAAGTATGATTGTAATAAGATGAGAATTTTATTTTCAAATGAAAGTGTGATTGACTCGCATTATTATTAAGTGGAAGTATAATATTTCTCTTTCATTTAATGTGAGAAAATTCTGTTGAAGTGACTGTATAATATTCTTAGATTTATTAGCAAATAACTGTTTATTTTATTGCTCCAAAATAAAGCTGAAAATGAAAACTGAATATCTAATATTTTTTGTTGCACTTGTTGCTGTCTGAACTCTGAAATTTTATTTACTAATTATTATTATTTTGTTTCCTTTCCGCAACTGAAGTAGATAGGTTTGCCTATGATCCCTGGATTGGGGAGTTCCTTCTGAAGACTTTTCATTCTCTTTCACTCACACTAACCCCTTGTGTCTTAGTGGCATTATCATCTTCCTTGAAGTGAAAAAAAATATATCTGATGTCATTTAATCAGACACACTGTCTATATCATACACACACACACACACACACACACAAAAAAATTCAGATTCAAATAAAATATATCTGTAAAAAGACTATGTAAACTTCTGTATTCACTTTTGATTTGTATTAAATTAGATCACTTAGCATCCTTCATAGTTTATCTTGATTTTCTAAACCTGAAAAAAAATATGAGCTTTTTTAAAATTAAAAATTTTGAAAACCTAACGTTATTTTTATTTCTGTTTATAAACACATGTTGCAAAATCAAATCCTTACATTTGCCTTGATAAAGTCCATCAGAGGACAAAACTCATTGGTAAAGAAAAGTATTACTTTTATCTTTATTCATATTCGTATACATACATACAAGATTACTACTAGTTAATTCTAGGTCTTTAGGGCATAGTGTGTATGTATAATATAGCAGTGTATATGTATACATAGAGAAAATGATACTTATATATGAAAGTTAATAAAACAAAAGCCCAGAAAAAATTAGTATTTCTGATATCTTCTACGTGGCATGTCCCTTCAAGGTGTTGTTGAACATGACTCTCCTCAACTTCCTGTGCTTTGTAAATTTCAATAAAATTTGTCTTTTAAGTCATCTTACCCAAACCCTGCTACTCCATCCATTCACTCAAGCTCATCAGGTAGGTTGTGTATTGTTTTCCCCTCTCCCTCTTGCCTTTGATCTGTCCTGTGAGAATCATATTTTCCAAGCTCTCTTTCCTCATTATGTGCCCTAGAAAATTTCAATCAATGTTAAGTATAAATGTCTTTTTTATTTCCATTGTCTCTAGAACTGCATCATTGCTCACATGTTCCGTCCATGGTATAATCAGCATCCTTCTGTAGAACCACATTTCTGTTGCTCCAACTCTCATTTTAATCTGTGATAGAGCTTTGTTAAATTTCATGGAAAACAAATTCCTTTCAGAAAAAATATTTTTAAATTACTACAGTATTAAGACAAACTCAAAGGCTAATTTGATTATGAAAGAATATTCTTTACACGTCAAGATAATCTCAGTTAGTTATGTGCCATGCGTGATACATGCTTAGGGGTTCATGTATTTTTTGATACATGATTGACAAGGCAAATTTTTTTCCCCACAATAGGTGGCCATTTCTTCCTGCGGTAGACCAGTTGCTATTCAAGGCTATTGAACCCAGTCTGTCCTGCTATTTGACCATAGCTGGAGGGAGAAGAAGATTCATACTTTTCCCAAGGGTATTAGCACGTAAGTGAATGTAATGGATTCAACTGGAATTTGAACTTGGCTCTCCGATTCCTCAATCCAAGCCAATATTTGTTACTCCACTGTGCCTCCCAGGTAATCTACTTAACCAATAACGCATTTGATATCTTAATTGAAATACAGAATGCAAATGACAAAATGGAGAAAACTTTATATAACACCTGTTGTCTTTTAAAAGGATTTCATCAGAGCAGTGATGCGCAGAGGTTTGGTGAGACCTAGGGGCAGCTTCTTGATTGTATTACCCTAAGGCACAAGTATTGGAAGCCTGGATTCATGTATCAAAATACAGATCAACATTCACACTACATGAAGTTAACTGAGATGATATCAAAAACTACATTTTTATTTCACTCTTTGATTGGATACTCTCCCGATGTGGATCCCCAGGGCTGTCACACCCTCTGCCTCCCAGCTTTTGCATGCTCCTGCATTAGAGTAAAATATTGTTCTTATTAATGAAATTATATGCCATAGAAAAAGGAAAATATAAACAAAAATATTGGTTGTAATTATGCACTGATGATGCTTTAATTAAGAGAGAAAGTAATTTACTAAAGCAAAAATCTTCTCCTGTGTGGCACTTTTTTTTCCTGATTTCATTTCAAGCAAAGCAATAATGTCTTTTTTGTAACCTAGGGAATGTTATTGAATGGAATAATCAAATGAAGGTTAGTAATGAATGGTAATACTTAGGACAAGAACAACACATATAAGATTTGCCAGCAGTGCATAGAAGTAGTAGTCAACTGCTAGAAGTGAGTTAAATGAATTCCACAATTAATCTCCAACTGCAGAACAACATACAGTATTTACTACTGTAAGTATGTGAATGGGAACATACCCATTATCATCAATAGGTATGCTACAACAGTCTCTAATAAGTGAGGAATTACTGGGAATGAAAAAAAATGAGAAAACTTCAGTGAAGTGAAAGGACAATAAAAGAACAGGGATCAGGAAGACAAAATATGGCGACTGGTATTGCATTTAAATTTTTGAAGAATGTAGATAGCAGGGAAGCAATAAACTGGAAAAGAGTTAAAGAGATGAGAAAAGCAAAAAAGAAACTATTAGAATAGAATTTATGGTTACATCTATATTTGAAAGCATTGGAAAACTGAAAGTTGTCTGAGTTGCAGCATCTGACGCCAGAAATTTAAAATTTAGTCTCTCTACATCTTTAGCACATCTTCTCAGTGCATAACTACAACTGATGTTTTCATTTATATTCCCCACATCCCCATACATATATAATTCCATCAATAAGAACATAATTTTAGCCTGATAAAGGATAAAATGTGTTATGTCGAATATTTTTCAATTTTGTCATTCAATTACTTGACATTGTTCTGATATATAGAGATTTATCTCATATTCTCCCATATATAAATGTGTGATGATTTGTGAAATGAGCTCTCTTTGAAATTTTATATATATATATATATATATCCTCTGTTCAGTTCATGAGAATTCAACCAAAGACTTTATGAACTCTATCCTCAGCATTTAACCATCAAAGCTATCATCAGTTCCTTTTTAGACACTGGTGTCTGTGAAAAACATTTCATGTAAGGAAACAAATAGAATTTATGATGAAAGAGCTATAATATTCGATTTTGTTACATATAATAGCATTCTTCAGAGTTTTAGCTTTTTGTTTTTTTTTGTTTGATGCATATTTTAAAATCATGTTTGATTTTCAATAAAGAAAAAAAGTTTTGGCATTTATATATCTCACTGATAATTTATGTAAAAGGCCTTTGTCCTATGCTTTCAAATGTCACTTTCTTTTTAGCAATAAAATTGTGAAAACCTTACATGCAACAAACGCTGATCATAAAATCCTGTTAGAATTCATAATTCTTCTTCTATGTGCAATTATTTTTCTTTCGGTTTGACATTTTCATGTTTTGTTTTGTACTCCTTAAGAGATATAAATTGTGTTGTTTTTACATAAATCACAAGAATTTATGACATCTATTATTTAATCATTGGAACTTTTTAGAAGTAATTTAACTTCATAAATTCATTTTTATTATCTTTATTATCTTATTATCTGGCATCAGTATCTAAGAAGAATGGACATATTCAGAAATGTGCACATTTTTATGGATATTTATAAAAATGTACACACGCTCCTATAGATATACTTAGGCAGGCAGGTGAATGAACATTACCCATTGTAATATATATATATGTCTGTGTCCATATATGTGTGACAGAGAGAGTATCTGCACACCTAGGGTAATATCTATATATATTAGACTCTCTTGTCCAGCAGCTCAGTTCTTGGAACTGAACAGCCAGGCTGCACATATATTTATAGTATAGAAAGCTTGAGCAGAACCAACCACATTTTTTGGAAAAACTAAATACAGAAAACTGGCACACATAATGTGCAACAAGGTCTCCAAGCAACCCTCTTCATGTTTTCAATTCAGAGTTGCTTTTATCTTAGACTCATTGCCATCCAAAGTTTTTGGGCCCACTCTATTCTGCTATTTACCCATAGCTGGTGGGGGTTGATGGAGAAGAGAGGGATTCCTACCTTTCCCAAACGTATTTGCACGTAAGTGAATCTACCAAACTTGAATGGAATTCGAACTTGGCTCTCAGATTTCTCAATCCAAACTGTGGTACATTACACCACCCACACATCTATTATATATATTTATGTATATGAAATGCAGAGAGAAGGTAACTATTTATCTGCTTACCCAGTCAAGCAGAATCTCACACAAGGTCAAGTTTAATGTAGTTTGAGAACCTACAAATACAGGGACTAATGACAAAAATCGTAAAGTACTTCCCTTTGTTGGGACACTTTGTGCCCCAGGTTATGACTCTTAGCTCACTCCCAAAAGAGAAGTATTACCTGGAGAGATGGCTTGCTGGATCTCAAGTATATTATATTTAGGTTGGTTAAAACAGAAAATTATACATATTTACACATACCCTCTCACACACACACACACACATATAATACAAATATAAAATTTATCACTTAGCTGATTGATGCTGTATTCAGCATTAACTCCAGAGTTTTGGAGATGAACCTTTGTTCAGTCCATTCATCAGGAGGTATCAGCAAATGTCTGTCATTTTTCTCGTTTTCATTATTTTTATGTTAAGTTAAAAAAAATAATTGATGAGGTTTTTTATTGGTGTTTTTGTACTTGTATATGTGCATGTGTATATGTGCAGAATGTCATGGTGATTTTTTCTTTTCATAATTTTCTCATCTTCTCATACTCTCTCATTATTTCTTTTCTTTCTCTTTCAGCTTTGAGTGTCAAAAGAAAATGTAACAATGTTATTTCTGGTGTTGGAGGTGACTTATATTTAGGCTAATTTTCCTGAATATTCTGGCATTTATAAAGTTTTTGAAAATATAGGTGTATTTCATTTTTTTGTTGTTTAAATAATTATTTTTGATTTATTTCTTTTTAAATAATTTTAAAAATTATGCTATATTTATGGATAAATGTGCTAAATATCAGGAATAGAGCATACGTAGATATAAAATATAAATGTGGACATTGAGGTCAACACCAAGAGATGGCAGTTTGTTTTCATGCTTAAATACAATCTTTCGCCCAGATATATATATATAAAAAAATTAGTGGTTAATAAATATATATATATGTATATATAAAATATTAGTGGTTAATATATATATATATATATATATATATATATATATATATATATATAAATATATATAAAATAATATATATATATATATATATATATATAAAAATATTATATTAATATATATATATATATATATATAAATATTAGTGGTTAATATATATATATATATATATATAAAATATTAGTGGTTAATATATATATATATATATATATATATATAAAATATTAGTGGTTAATATATATATATATATATATATATATAAAAATATTAGTAGTTATATATATATATATATATATATATATAAAATATTAGTGGTTAATATATATATATATATATATATATATAAATATATATATATATATATATATATATATATATATATATATATATATAAAATATTAGTGGTTATATATATATATATATAAAATATTAGTGGATAATATATATTTCCAAGAGGACAAAATCCAGATAGAGCTCTATGTACAAGACAGAGCAAGAATATAATATAAAAGGCTCAAACACTAATATTCCATGGTTATAATTTATTACATTGGAATTGTAATCACAATCCAATTCATCAGACCTACAAATACATTTTTTTTTAATTTGTAGGTCTGATGAATTGGCTTGTGATTACGATTCCAATGTAATAAATTATAACCATGGAATATTAGTGTTTGAGCCTTTTATATGACATATATATGATAAATGCAAATGTTAGTGTGTCACCATGTGACACTTTTTCAACTTTACTCATAGTGGTCATAGCTGGACATATCATACCATTTTGGAATCAGGCCAACTCCATAAGAAAATTAAAGCATTACGGGCTGGAACTGCAATCCTGAAATTTTAGATCCCCAAGTTTTCATTACTGAAATTGTTTTAAGATTCCTCCATATTGGTTTCTACTGATAAAAACAATGAAAGGGACCTACTCCCTAACTTTCAATAGCTCATGTTCAAATAAAAGATTACTATTCTCAAATTACAGTGTTTCAAAATAAAATTGTCTCTGTTTTCAACTTTACTTCTAGAGGCCATAGCGTAACATATCATACTATTCTGAAATCAGGTCAACTCTGTGAGCAAATTCAAAACATTCTGTGCTGGATCCAGACCCATAACCTTGAAAGTTTGGATTCCCAAGTTTTCATTCTTGCAATTGTTTTCGTTGATTTTTTTTTTTTTTTTTTTTACGTGATTTATGTGACAAATTTTTTTGTATGATAACAATTTTTGTAACTTGGAAATAAATTTTGGAATAATCAGAATTAATTATGAAATTCAGCAAAAGTCACCCATGAAGTAAAAGTAATTGTTTGTACAGAAATTAAGGACCTACGTACATCAAATTGTCTTCAAATTAAGTGGCAGCAGAAGAATTATCATTAAACTTTTAAAAGTTAAGCTTAAATATTAATACATTACTTAAATACAATGATCAATTTTGAGTTCCTCTGTAGTTTATTGCTGCCTATCACATCTACTCCTCCTTACATATTGTGATGAAGGCTCAATCAAGAGCCCTCTGCTGGAGCTAGCTTAAACCCCACTCAATAGGGTGGCTTTTAAGTTAGAATATATATATATATATATATATATATATATATATATATATATATATTTTGGCAGCATGTCATCATTGAGGCATGTATTATCAAAGACTACGGGAGTTTTCTATTTAATAATCTTTCTTTCGTTTTTTTTCTTGCTTTCTCAAAAGTTTCTTTATATTTGGGTCTAAATTGTTACATTTGTTTAAATAGGATTTAATACTGGCAGAAACATCTTAAACATATTTAATAACTAATCCTCCAAATAATAATTACCAACCCTCTCCCAATTGCTAATGAATTAATCCAACAACACTGACTGAATAATCCAAAATATTATCTTAAAAATAAAAATAAAAAGCAACTTACTTCAAACCAAAACATACAGCCATAATGATCTTTGATGACAACTAATTGTGCTTGGAAAAAAAAAAAAAAAAAAAAAAAAAAAAATGTATATGATGCAGCAGAAATACCTTCCACATAATGGTAAAACATTAGCTAGATGAAGACACCATTAGCACTAATGTCTTACCATTATATGAGTGGTATATGTGGGAGGTATTTCTGTTAGAATATATATATATATATATATATATATATATATAGAGAGAGAGAGAGATAAAATTATGTGTGCATTGGGTAGTTAGTGTTAACTTTCTGACCATGAGACCCAAGTTCAAATCTCACAAGGCCAATTTCTCAGTGAGGTGAGTTCTTGATGAGGAGTTGAGCCCAGTATATGGCACTACTAGAAAGTAGATTGAAAACCATACCACAGGTTTAACCAAGAGACATATGATTGAAATTGGGTGGATGAAACTGTTCAACAGCCATTGATGAGTATGGTAGCACAGAGTAACAAGTTATGATGATTTAGGGTTTGGGAGTGTACTGGTATTGTTCAGCTGCTGATCACCCTAGATTATATTATGTGCTCTCTCTCCCAGAAACTGTAACTAATGTCCACTCAGCATAGTTTGCAGTATAAACCACAGCTTGGCTCTGTGGATGTTGAATGTGCCTGAGCAGCTATCTGCAAAAAATGAGTGTATTTGGATACAAGCAGCCAACCATTATTTTTATAATTCAGTTGGGTTTCAATCCTAGCTACAGGCAACCAGACCTCTAGCCACACCAAAGAGCTGTGAAATAGTGAAACAGTCTGTCTGTGGATGACATTATATAGGCACCTGAAAAATTAATTTTGATTGAGCTCTCTTGTGAGGAAGTGAGTGTTTGTAAACAGTAACTATTATAGCGAGACTCTTCAGCAAAAGTGAATTGAGTCCTGTCGGTCACTGTGTGTTTATCTAAAAATAAATACACTAAAATTCACCTTCATCCCTGCCGTGTGCTGACGGCTTAGTGGTAGAATCTCCGACTGACACCAATTCAGTCAGGTTTCAATCCTAGCTAGAGGCAACTGAAGAGTTAGATCAGGGCTACATGAATGTAGGACGCTTATGGCTAAGATACAAAGACAAACTGAAAAGCAACTTGTCAGCAGTCAATATACCAGTCAATATACCACACCCTTGAGCGCTTAGCTTTGGAGCAGGTAGAATGGAGATCAACGTGTTTTAGTGGACTCAGCAATTTTCAATCTGCTTGTGTGAATCATCTTCAAGAAGCGAGAGCAAGATCTAAAAGGTCAACCAATCTAACAGTGATCTCATCTCACAATCCTCACACTTACTCCATATGTGGCCTCCTTTGTAAATCACTAGTGGGTCTTAGATGCCACTTAAGATTAGCGCATAAACTTTCATAACTGAATCAATAAGCTGGCAGATCCTCATACGTCAAAACCGACGGGAGAGTCCATTATTATTATTATTATTATATATAAAGTGTAGACATAAAAATTGACACTGTATGGTGACAGTGAATTTCATACCTCTAGCAATAATCAAACCAAAATTGAGCACTTTTCCTTCATGAATATGGTAAACTTTAAACAATATAATTATATGCATGTAAACAAACATGTATAAAAATCACATGTAATACTTCTGTGTATGCATTAATTTCAGATTTTGTATCACTGCATGTAAACATCTTTTTATTTCCCATCTGTATATACCAGGAATAGATATTTTTGCTTATCCTCCACAGTTTTTTTCAACAGGAGTAGAAATTTATCCCTTGTTTCCTGTTTCTTCTAAAGTCTACCTCAACTCTAAACATCTAATGCATCTGCCTGAACTCTGAAATTTTATTTACGCATTATTTATTTATTTTATTTTTATTTTCATTTTTTTTTATCTCAATCGCAGTAGATAGGATCACCTATTGTGTGGTTCACACTCCTCCCCAGTCTTTTGAAAAGGAGTAGAGGTTTATCCCTTGTTCGCTGTTTAAGATTGGGTTTCCAGTTCCTTCTAATGTATTCCCATTCTTTTTTACTCCCAGTAATATATATATATATAATTTAATTTAAAGAAAAACAGACAACTTTAAGGTTCCATAAGATTATAATTTATTTCCTCAGGGATTTTCTTGATCCATGGATCATCAAGACCTCACTTCCAAAGATGAAAAAATTGAATTTAAACTTACACTAGTAGTATTAGCCAATGTAATGTGATATAGAGAGTGGTGAGAGATAGTGTGCCAGACATGGTCAAAATTAATGAGGGTAGAGAGAGATTGTAATGTTTTTAAATTTATTTTTATTACAATACTTAAGAGAGAGGAAGGTGGGTAAGGGTCAGACATTGACCTATTTGATAGATCAACTCACTGGAAATGATATAAAGAGAGAAAAAAAAGAAGGGGAGAAGTAAAGATGTAAGAAGTGAGAGATGGATTTAAGGTTTTGAAGGAAAGAGATGGGGATAAAAAATTTGGCTAGGGAAATTAAGAAAATTAACGTATGTGTGTATATTGCTGCCAAACTGGAAAAACACAGATTTATATATTTTAAAAATTTTTTTAAAAATGTTTCATACTAATTTAAGTATTTAAATTCTCCACAAATAAACTAGGAATTTAATATAACTTGAATAAACAAAATATAAAAAATTCCTAATATTAATATTTTTAATATTGTGAGTAATGGTTAAGGAGTAATATTTCTTAGTTAAAGTTTAAGTCATTAATTTAATTTGAAACTATTTCGAGATGAGTAATATATCTTAATTAAAGTCTAACTTTTCAAATCTAATTTGAAACTATTTAGAGATGAAGTAAGATTTGAAGGTAATAATAAAAAATTCTCTGTTGTTACACCTAAACTATATATCTATACATACATATATATATATATATATATATATATATATATATATACACACATATATATTTATGTAAATATATATATATATATATATATATATATATATGCACATAAGCCTGTATATATATACGACTACATACACATGTATTGATACATATCCACACACATACATAGATATATACATTCACCTACACATTTACACATATATATATATATATATATATATACATATTCAACTTTTCTTTTAAGTTTTGGTTAATGTTTGATAGTAATTTAAGTATCTAAATTCACCACAAAATAAATTAGGAATAAAAATTTAAAAAAAAAATAAAAAATTACTAATTTTAAAATTAATATTGTGAATAATGGTTAAGAAGTAATATTTCATAATTAAACTCTAAGTCATCAATTTAATTTGAAACTATTTCGAGATTAATATTTCTAAATCTTCAAATCTGATTTGAAACAATTTCAAGATGAAGTAAGATTTGAAGGTAATAATCAAAAGATTTATTGTCTTTACATTTAATCTATATTTATATACACACAAACGTACATGCATATATACATATATATACATACATACATATCTTATACATATATTCATACACACCACATACATATTTTTAAGTAAATATATATATATATATACTCATATACAGATACATATACAACCATTTACATATGTATCGATGCACATACATATACATAACCTTACATATACACACACATATATACATTTACACAACATCCATATATATATATATATATATATATATATATATATATATACACACACATTTACAGATGCATACACATGCACACATATACACATGCATATACCCTTATAAATACATATACATACTGGCATGTATACGAGCATCCTTACATCTAAATACAAGCCAGTAATTACTTCCGTATATAAATATCTACATATATATACACACCAACATATGTATATGGTTGTATTATATATATATATATATATAATTTCACCTATGTATAGTGTGGTCCGAAAGTTTTGTCACTCCATATATATATATATATATATATATATATATATATAATTTTCTATTTCAGATGGCTGACACAAGCTCCTATATTTTGGAAGAGAGATAGGGGTGACAAGACTTTTGGGCAACCCTGTATATCTATTAACATACTTAGATATATGTATGTCCTATGTACCTTCTTCTTTGATGTGCCATATCCCTTCTGGACATAAGCGATCATGGCTCTCCACAGCTTCCCATCCTTTGTAGCTCTTAACATAATCTTAATGTATCACTCTTACTATTCCTTCCTACTCACCATTCTACCATCCATTTACACAAGCTTGTTAGGTAGGTTATTTGCGGTTTCCATCTTGTATTTGATATGTCTTCTGAGTAATAAATTCTTCAAGCCATCTTTCCCCATTATGTAAATTTCAACCATTTCTTTCTGATTCTAAGCATAAAAAACATTTTCTCATTCCATTTCTTTAAAATCTCCTTTTTATTCACATGCTCCATCCATGGTATTTTTGACATCATTCTGCAGAATCATATTTCTGTTGCTTAAATTCTCTTCATCTACCATGTAGGACAACTGATAGTACAATTGAGTACTATTTTCTTTCTAATGAATGTTTTTTGTTTCTTTATACTTTGTTTATGATTTAGAAGGCATCTTCCACTGTCCCAATGCTCCTTCACATTTCAGTGTCACATTTTCCATCATCTGTTAAACATCTCTCAGGTATTTTAATTTTTTCATTTGCTTGCTTCTAACATCTCCAATTCATGGCTTGTATCATCGGTTGTCCCTTTTGCTGACAACCATATGTTGTCTTCTTAAAACTGATCATTAATTTTTTTTTTTTTTCCGGGCTTTCTTTACAAGCATTTCAATGAGTTCCTGCAGTTTTCTAGCCGTGTCTTCCATAAGTTGCTAAAAATAAAAAAGAGGTAAAAAGTGAGACATCATTTCTAATCTTATATTTTGTTCTTTCTATTCTTTTGCTGACTTTTAACTTTTTCAGTTTATATCTTTTCACTCTTTTTTGTGATTTCTCTGTTTCTCTTCCTCTTTTTTTTTCAATCTCTCTTTTTCCCTTATTTCTATCTCTCTCTTTCCCTTATTTCTATCTCTCTCTTTCCCTTATTTCTATCTCTCTCTTCTACCCTTGTTTCTATCTCTATTCATTTTCCTCCCTTGTTTCTATCTCTATTCGTTTTCCTCCCTTGTTTCTATCTCTCTTCTTTTCCTCCCTTGTTTCTATCTCTCTTCTTTTCCTCCCTTATTTCTCTCTCTTCTTTTCCTCTTTATTTCTCTCTCTGTTTTCCTCCCTTGTTTCTCTCTCTCTACTTTTCCTCCCTTGTTTCTCTCTCTCTCTCTTTTCCTCCCTTGTTTCTCTCTCTCTCTCTTTTCCTCCCTTGTTTCTCTCTCTCTCTCTTTTCCTCCCTTGTTTCTCTCTCTCTCTTTTCCTCCCTTGTTTTCTCTCTCTCTTTTTCCTCCCTTCTCTCTCTCTTTTTCCTCCTTGTTTCTCTCTCTTTTTTCCTCCCTGTTTCTCTCTCTCTCTTTTCCTGCCTTGTTTCCCTCTCTCTTCTTTTCCTCCCTTGTTTCTCTCTCTATTCCTTGCTTTTTCTGTTTATATTCCTTTGTTTCTTCTCAGCCTCTGTTTCTATTTCTCTTTTCCTTTTATGTTTTTTTTCTTTTTCATCTCTGTTTTTGTCTCTGTTTTGCCTTTGCTTTTGTTTCTCATCTTTGTTTTTCTCTCCCTTCTTTCCTTTTCTCTCTTCTTTCTTTTTTCTGCATCTTCTCCCTTTTTTCTTTGTCTCTTCATCTTGTATTTCTTTCCCACTGCATCCCATATTTCTATTTCTATTTTTCTTCCTTTCTTTCTTTTACCTCTTTTTCTTCCTTATTATTACCTCCCTTTCCAAAAGCAAATTTTCTCATTTAATTAACGAGCTAATGTCTACTGAAAATTTAATCAACCCCACCTTTGATCTTTCACATCAAAGTGTTCATTTATATACATTTCCTACAGATCTTTCAACATCTGTTTAACTTTTTGTATGATTCAAAATGGCTGTTGACTGAAAAACTATTGAGGATTAGACAGGATGGACATTCTGCAAGAAGTAGCCTTTTCTTTTCTTATAGCTGTCAGTTCAAATGTAACTTTTGAATTTTATTCATTTCCTTGAATTTTTCCTTAATGCAAACACCTTAGCATTATTTACATCAGGGTTTTTGCAGTGTCATGTCGTGCATAGATAGGTGACCCTGCAAGCACTTCCAGTAGGCAGTCCTAGGGCTACACTATGCTGTAGTCTTGGCCACTCTCTGGCTGTATTCTATTGCCTTTGACAATGGACAGTGACGGTTATTCAAGATAAGTTTATGACTGCAATAATTAATAACAGTGGAAGTAAACCAGTTTGAAAAAAAAAAGGACACCAAAGACTCTCAAGCTTTTCTTTTTTCAAAATTTGTGGTATTCATTCCAATTTCTGTACTGTAAAATCTTTTCTCTTGAAACTCTCCAGACATCTTCACATACTGTGAAACCAACATATCTATCTCTATGACTGAATTCTCTGTTCAAATCTGTCTTCCTCTTTATAGAAAGGATTGTGGTATATATATATATATATATATAATTTTATCATAGACAAAACCATTTTACTCACTACAAAGATGCAACTTCATTTCAGTGCATTTCAACTGCACTTTGACGTGTGAAAATCGAAAATGGTTAGGAACAATCCTGCTTGTAGGCAAAGCCGTATGTGAAACGTCACTTCCTTTTTCCATTTGTTTGAGAAGAAAAAATATGCATAAAGCAAAAAAGGTGACGGAGTGAAACAATAATGTTTGTTGATAGCAGTTTGGTGATGCATGGCCTGAGCATCTATGATTGGGGAAAATGTCCTAAGAACATGGGAATTGTCTCTTCAGTCTTTTAGATTTTTCTTATATGTGATTTTGAATTTTACTATTAAACTTTGTTAGTTAACTCTTCTTCATTTATTGTTATAAGATGGCCAATGTGTTGAGGCAACAGCATAAGATGGCCGATGTGTTGAAGCAACAGCATAAGATGGCCGATGTGTTGCAGTAATAGAATAAGATGGCTGAAGTAACAACATAAAGGAGAAGTCTGGATGTCTGAACAAAATTTGGTATATTAAAGAATCTTCATATATGCTAGCTCACATAGTCTTTTTCTTGAGATTAATGTCTATGGAAATCAAAAAATGACATATCACATCCCACCTTAATGGGGAGGTCAGGTAAATACCTGTATATACCTTTTGACTGAGATGAAAGAGGTGGGAGCCAGTGTAATACCAATGTGACAGTGATTGTGGGAAATGGGCAATTTTGTCCTTGAACTATGCACATGTATGGATAGCCCACATAAAACATGACCTTATACCCCATACTGCCTTTGTGAGCAGGTCAGATAAATAACTATATTTACGTATGCCTTTTGACCAGTATGAAAGCATAGTATCTGTTTCCTCCTAATTTGAGATGGAAGATAGCAGTCCCAGAGATGTCAACCCTGCAGAAACCATGAACAGATTTATATGCATATCCCACAGTAGAGATGTAGTTCCAAGTGGAAAGCTAGGCAAATGTACTCCTGATGAGTTGAGAGTAGAATTGAAAGATACTGTTGTATCCTTAAAGAGGTTACAAACAGACAAAGGTGGTACTCAAGTGAAGGAACAGCAACACGTGAGTAGATGAAAGAAGAGAGGTCTATTGTAAAAGACAGGGAATTGGGTGGCAGGCTAGTAATTCCTGAAGCAAGGATATTTACCTTCACTCCCTGTGAGGCAGGATGTGGCATGAGGCCGGTTTTTAAAGCCAGCAAAACCGAGCCCATAGGCTCAGGCAAAAATTCCCTAGACCCCATATGCATGGGGTCGGGTAGCTGTCTTCCACCCCAGACAAGACTCTGCCCTTCGGCATAGCCTCGTCTGGGTTCCTCTCAGCCCAAAGGCAGAGAATTTGATGAGCACAGCTGGAGACAAATCTCCTACTAATTGCCGAAGCAAGCCCCTAGATATATCCTGTGCTCATGATATATAGCTACTGATATAGTCAGTCCACATAGGCGATAAGGAGTGTGGGACTTTCCATTACAACAGATGCTTTGCAAGCAAAGCAGTCTGCTTTATTAGCAGAAGATATCACTGCAAATTGATTGAAGAGAAGATGGATTGAAGAGTTACCTTATTTAAAAGATTCTTATAGAACCAAGAACAACACCTTAACCTCTTTGAGGACACATTTGCACTTATTATGAGCAGTCATAAAGAGACATCTGTTGCGATCCAAGCTATATAGCTGGAAAAATGGATTCCTATAGGCTATAGTGGCTGAACAAGCAGGTGTGAACCAAGACGAAATTTATCTTGTATTTATGAGTTGGAATAAATGCCTTGATGTTGGCATTTACACAAACAACTTCAGAGGTACAGTTTTCAATAGGAAGACTGAAGATTTTACTCCAAGTAGCATTGTGAAGAAAATCATGAAATGAATCCTAATCAGTATGCTACTAGTTGAAAAAAGTTGTATGAATAGGGGTCCATAACTAATAGAGGCACCAAAGGAAATATTAACAGACACTACAGCATGATCTGAATTGCCAAGAAGACAGAGTTGCAATGTGTGACAAGAGCCAGGAGAAAAGTTAAGGAGGTATTTTAGTGTCAATGATATGTCTTCTCAGTGTCAAATTCTCCAAGTTCTCCTTCCTTGGTATGCATCGTTTTGTTACCATTTTCCTTAAGAGTTCCTTGTTGTCTACATGATCTGTCTGTATTCTCAATATCCTTTTGTAGAATCACAGTTCTGTTGTCTCCAGTTTTCTCTTCATCTGTGAGAAGTGTCCATAATTCATATAGGAATATTGATAAAATATAACAGCTCAACACTTTTTTCTGTCATATCCAAAAGTGACATTTTTCTATATCAAGCTAGAAGACATAAATGTTTAAAATGTCTTCTTTTTTTTTTTTTCAATTTATCTTTCAAACAAGGCAATTGCTCACTGTCACAATGGTGCAGTAACAATTTTCATAGGTTATTTTTTTTAATGAATTTACCTCAAGCAAGGTATAAAATCTAAGACACAAGGCATTAGTGGTGTGAAAGAATTAGAAAACAGAAAACATTATGAAGAAGTGGCAACAACAGAAGAGTAATGAAGATGGTAGATAATGATTGGCATTGCATTTAAATTTTTGAAGATCAAAGTTGAATGGAAAGCATAGATCCAGAAGATTGTTTAACAAGTGAGAAATAAATGTGAGAAAAGAAACTGATAGCATAGAACTTAGGATTACATCTAACCAATTCAACTGTAAATTGATGAGACCTTGTTGCCAATCTAGTACTGCACTTAAATTCATAAAATATAAGTATGATAGATGTGAAGTTCTCATCTGAAAAATTACTATAAAAGTATTTATAGAATAGGCACAGGCCAGCAACTTTATGGCAATTATTTTTTTTAATTCCATTTTAATTCCACTGAGTACAGGGAAAACTTTCCCCACCTCATTAGATTCCAACTTGACATGGTGATAGCTATCTTGAATCTAGACATAATTGTTATCATTTTACATTCTCATAATAAACCCATTTTCATTGCCAGTGACTAAACATAACTTTTTTTGTGTGTGGGTCAAGCAAGAAGACAAAGACAAATTTTAAAATCACATAGTTCCTATTTACCCAGCTTCCAAATGTTTCCTGGTCCTTGTAAATGGCATACAGGGGTTGACTGATTGCACAAGCAACAAAAAGATGAGTAAACTCTAAAGATACTTCTAAGATTCCCTCAGCATTGTGCAAATGATAACACTTGAAACTTTAACCTTACAATGTATATTTAGGCAAGAATTCATTTAAACATGTTATCTTAGATTCAACAGACAATATCTATCTGTTTAATTTATTCTACTTTTCTAATTTTCTAAAACTTGTAGATCCAAATCAAAAATGTGTATATACCATCCAATGTTTGCTTATTACAGATTTTGTTGACTATTGCCTGTCATTTTTGAAGCCCTACATTTCAAATTCAAATATACATGTATTGTATAAGTGACATTATTGCAAGAAAATCAGTGTTGAAAAGATATATTTAGTGAGAGTGATGTAGAGGGATGTTAGCTGATAGTGGACACACTGAAGTTTCTTCAAACAAGTGCATAATAATGAAGGTACAAACAATTATGTACATTTAACAACAACATATTTTATTGCCTAAGCAAACTAAATAGAAGAAATATAAATGGTGAATAAAAAGGATGAAAAGGTGAATGTACGTGTGTGCAAAGTTCCGATAAAAGATAGACTCTTATTTGAAAAGAGTTCTGTTTTGGATTGTTAGATTTATTAGATATGCCTATGTATAGCTAAGTTAGCTGAGGGCATTTGTATGATATGTACTGTGTTGTGTTGTGTTCAAAGTGACATTAGGTTCACTTGGGACTAAAGGTCCCCTGGAGGAAAAAATATGATATATCCTATATCAAAGACATTCTCTGACTAAAAGAGAG